GAGCAGAAAAGCGAACGGACGATGAGTTAACCCAGGCCATCATTTCTGCCCAGAGGGGAAAGGGTGTTGCCCCATTCGCCCTCTCTTCTCTGGAAAGAAGGATGGCAGCCGCATGGGAGCCTTGTGGACAGCAGGTATGAGCCGGCGGTGTGGGGGCGACTAAAACCTCACGAGAAGGGGGGCGTTCCGGTCCGTCCTTCACGCCCTACCGAGGTCAACAGTTGCCCCCCACGAGCGGCTCCCCAGCACGGCCACAGTCCCAGAAGCACAAGGACTTAATGCAGAACCCGGCAGCTTGGAGCAGAAAAGTGAAAGGACTATGCGTTAATCCAGGCCATCAAGTCTGCCGGAGGGGAAAGGGTGTTGCCCCATTCGCCCTCTCTTCTCTGGAAAGAAGGATGGCGGCCGCATGGGAGCCTTGTGGACAGCAGGTATGAGCCGGGGGTGTGGGGGCGACTAAAACCTCACGAGAAGGGGGGCGTTCCGGTCCGTCCTTCACGCCCTACCGAGGTCAACAGTTGCCCCCCACGAGCGGCTCTCCAGCACGGCCACAGCCCCAGAAGCACAAGGGCTTAATGCAGAACCCAGCAGCTTGGAGCAGAAAAGTGAAAGGACTATGCGTTAATCCAGGCAATCATTTCTGCCCAGAGGGGAAAGGGTGTTGCTCCCTTCCGCCCTCCTCCCTCTGGAAAGAAAGATGGCGGCCACATGGGAGCCTTGTGGACAGCAGGTATGAGCCGGGGGTGTGGGGGCGACTAAAACCTCATGGGAAGGGGGGCGTTCCGGTCCGTCCTTCACGCCCTACCGAGGTCACCAGTCGCCCCCCGCGAGCGGCTCTCCAGCATGGCCATGGCCCCAGAAGCACAAGGACTTAATGCAGAACCCAGCAGCTTAGAGCAGAAAAGTGAACGGACTATGCGTTGATCCAGCCCATCAAGTCTGCCGGAGGGGAAAGGGTGTTGCCCCATTCGCCCTCTCCTCTCTGGAAAGAAAGATGGCGGCCACATGGGAGCCTTGTGGATAGCAGGTATGAGCCGGGAGTGTGGGGGCGACTAAAACCTCATGGGAAGGGGGGCGTTTCGCTCCGCCCTTCACGCCCTACCGAGGCCACCGGTTGCCCCCCACGAGCGGCTCTCCAGCACGGCCACGACTCCAGAACACAGAAACCAATTTCTTAACTATCTGACTTTCAGTAGAAATACTTCCAGGGTCAATAGGTAAAACAGCAGAAATCCAAAACCAACATTTAATTCTTGAACCCAGCTGTAGAAAGCAAATCACTTCACAATGCTTTTTCAGCATGTCTGATTTGGGGGGGGCGTAAACTCTAAATAATAGTGGTGAATCTTTTATTGAAACAATGAATCTAATCAAAGCAGATAGAGTGTTAACTAGAATTCATCTGCCTCACAGGGACGGGGAGGGGTGGGGGGGTGGGGTTTTATTGGGGTTCTTCATGGTAAAAAATAAGTATTGGTAAAGGGAAATGTGTTTGATATTTGCATGACTGAGACCTAAACCTGAAAGCTTTGTAACCTTTCCCACAGTGATTCAATAAATAAATTTAAAAAAAAATAAATAAAATAAAATAAAATAAAATAAATTAAAAAAAAAAGAAAATAAAGGACTTAATTGGTTGCTTAAAAGTAGGTGATTTAAAAAAAAAAGTAGGTGATTTTTCCGTTAAACTTCTTGTGAAAGGCTGCCTTTTATTTTTTTTAACACTACTGAAGTCAGGTTAACCTAATCTATTAGTGTACTTCTCTAAACATGAGACATTAGCCATTTTATTATTTTTTTACAAGTCTTTTCTTTATACTACGTTCTTATTGTCATTGCTTGGGTATTCTGAGGAGACATGTGATTTACAAAACTTCTTGTTTTAATTATTGACCTGCATATTAATGATATGCTTTCACAATATACTTTTTTTTTGGCAGGGTGAGGGGGCTGTAAGACCAGTGGGCTTATTCCTGAGTGACTCTGCACTCAGGAATCACTCCTGGAAGTGCTCTGGAGATCAAACGGGATACCAGGGAACGAACCTGGGTTGGCCACGTACAAAGCAAGTGTTCTATCCTCTGTACTATCTCTCCAGTCTCTCATAATATATTTTAATCTGGAGCCATAAGAGATCAACCTATCTATGGTGTTAATGAGGTTTCAAATCAATCCCCTACATTTACCTCATTGTTTCATGCTAACAGTATTTGGATAGAGTTTTAAGTAAGTCCCAAAATATGTTTCTGTGGTAAGGCAATAAAGGAAAAGAAGGGGACAGAGATATATTATCGTGGGTAAGTTGCCTGCCTTGCATGCAGCTTGCTTGGTTTTGGTCTCCAAGCACCCGGTATGGTCCCCTGAGCCTTTCCTTTCCGAATGATCCCTGAGTGGAGAACAAGGAATAAGCTCTGTGTATCACCAGATGTGGCCACCCCCCCCCCCACCACCACCACCGCTGACACACACCACCACCATCACAAAAAAGAGGGGGGAAAAAAAGAATGGAGGACTGAAATTCATTAAAACTGAGTCATTTGTGCAGTTCTGGAGGAATATTACAGACCTGAAGGAATATCTCTTCAAAGATAATATATAAACTGGTTAGTATGTTTTGCCACTTGGGAAAAATAATTATTTTTAATCCTTTTAACAACTTAACAAAGAAATATTTTCAATCTTTGCTTTTATTTTCACATTTCATGGGAACACTTTTCTCTAAACATGCAATATAGAGGAAAAAACAATTTCTAATATTCTGTCCCATTTTTTAAAATGGTAAAATGCATTGTGAAAACATAAAGATGGTATAAGCTGAAGTGAAAATTTTGATATGTTTTGTTCCCCAGAACACTAAATCAACATCCTGACAACTATTGAAGATTAACTGCTTTCTATTAGGAAGAATTAAGTAGACCAACTTTTGTGTATGACCTAACAATTACTTTCCTTGCTGGCTTCCCAGTATTTAAGATAACGTAAAACATTCCTGTTAAGTGCTCACCAATACTTGTTTGCCAGTATAATACTGTTTCCATGTTTATGAGCTTTCAGGAGTAAAATGAACACAAGGCTAAGGATTTCTCATTCACATATGTGACATGCATCAAATAATGGTTTAAGTGCTGCTGATTAGTTGCTCTGTCTGCAAAGTACACATCAATAGGAATTGGAACACATCAATAGGAATTGCTCCCCATGGTATCACTGACTTAAACAATTTTCCTTTTTGATAGAATTTTCTGCAATCACTTGTTCTTATTCTTATATGTCATTAGTTTTGAAACTGACAAGCTTCACGGTGTCAATGTCCTGTATAATTTTCTATCACAGATTTGAGTTTGAACCCAGTCTACCAGTTCAAATGCACATGTAACAACTGCTTTATTATTTGTGAAGAGACAGTGTTTACCCAACAAATGGAAACAAATAAAGAATGGACATAATCATTAAGATGAGATATTTAGACTGTCTTTGATGTATAAGCAATTACCCTAAAACAGGTTATCAGGTCAACCCCCAGTGGCTGATCTAACCTGTGATGGGTCCACCCATAAAGTACTGAGCGGGCGCTATGCCAAGAACCTAGGAAATTGCCAATGGTGTCTTATTCCTGTAATATTTTAAGAAATATACAACTCTGGATAATGCTTCACAATTTTGGACCATTCTGCATTTCACTTTTAGCTGAGATGTATGACCTTATATTGTAGAAAATTACCTTACTAATTACAAGAGATATAATATGCTTTAAAATTTGTGAAAACTGGTGGCAAGATGCAAATATTTGATGGGACAAATATTTGATGGGACAAATATTTGCTTGTGACTAATTATTAACGGATTGACGGGGAAAATAATTCAGCGATTCATCACCTTCTTGATATGGTTCAGCTGTCTTGAAAACATATTCACAGAATCTTACATAGCACATACTATAGGTTCTAATTCTGCATTCACACCTAAGTTTTTTCCACAATCTCTCAACATTATGGTATTTTTAAATCACTGTTGATAATTTGCCAATCAGGGATAAGAGAAATATCGATATAAAATCCAAATTGAACAGACATTAAATTATTAGAAAAGTATAATAAAGATGAATATTAGCTGAAGTAAACTCATGAGCACAGTCCTTGTCCTACATAAATGCACCTACGACTGTACATAAAGAGTAAGATACTATTAAAAACTTAAAAGATTTCTATGAAAATAAGATTTTATTACAGGAGGAGTATGGTAGGTGCTCAGGGCTTACTTCAGCTCTGTGCTCAGGGATCACTCTGGCAGTGCTTTGGGGGACCATATGCACTGCTAGGTACTGAACTGGATCTGTCACATTCAAGGAAAGTGCCTACCCGCTGTATGACCTCTCTTGCTCCAAATCCTATATTTAACTTTGCAAACATGTGATTTGTAAAATTATGTGCAGGATGTGAAAATTAGTTTCAGTACATTTCCTTTCTCTGAACTGCCTAAGTATTTAACAGTTTATTAGTGATCACTATTGTTCCAAAGATGAATTAGAACAGTATGTGCCAAAAAGATGAGAATGATTAAAAGAAAAAAGGAAGGCAGATATGAGAATGCTATGTTGAGGGAAGCTGGGGGAGGATGGGTAGAAAGAGGAGGTGAACTGGCCATTAACAGACAGGGTCCCTGCTCAGGAACTGCAGGCTCTTGGATGTTGGAGAAATGAGATAACCTTTCTCATCAATCCTAAAAGTCAAAACTATGGTAAATAAGTCACCCGAAGTACACTTAACAAAACAATGAGGCTGTGCTAAGGAGGTGGAGCGGGACAGGGAAGAAAACTTGGGATACTGGTGGAGGGATGCTGACATAGAAGATCGTTTTGAAGCTGGGATGGTGTATGCCTGAAACACTATTGTTGTAAATCACGGTGCCTAAACTTGCTGGGGGTGGAGGGAACAGGGAAAGAGAGGGAGTCAAAAAAAAACTAAGGACATCAATGAGAGGTCACAGAGAATCACTTTTTTATAAAAATTTTTATTAAACAGTATTAGTTTACAAAATTAAGAAAAGCAAAACAAATTATAAATAAACATTTCTTCATATTTTAACAGTATTTTGTGAAAATTACTGGGACATAATAAGAAACCCATAAATGTTTACCAATGCAAACAACATTTAAGAGAAAATACTCATAGGGCATTTAAAATCAACTTCTCCCATCCTAACACTTTGCTCCTACAATTGAAGTTTTATCTTATTTGGTAATTTTTTGATTCCTAGGAATCTACTGTTGACTTTATGATCATTCTACTAGTCCGAAACATTAAAATCCCTAACATGATTTTCTATTGCTATCTTGATTCTATACTCTAAGCTTGTTCTATCATAAAGTTGTACTAATCAATGGAGTCCAAAAAGCAAAATTTCTTATCTGATAAACAAATGTTTTTCATTAAACTTCCTGAAATAACAATGAACTTATTGGCAGCACACAACCAAGTCACACTTCCTACAGAAAACTTAAATTTTAATAAATCTGCCACTCTTTCCAATGTCACCTTAAGTACTTGCCAACTCAGTAAATTTTTTTTTGGGGGGGAAACAATGGGGGAATCAAACCCAGGATTCCACATATGCAAGGTATGGGCTCTATAACTGTCTAGTTTCTTTAAAAGGCCATGTACATGTGAATATCTGAGTATTTTGTCAACATCTTAATTTTTGCTAAAGATTAATGGCAGTATAGTGTTCAATGTCTACTGTAAAAAGCTTGAAAGAATAATAGTTTCAAACAACTTCACAATTTCTAGTGATTAGAGAATATAAAAAATATTTTTAACATTTTCAGATCTTTTCTATTTAAAAGATGTGTATCTTTATTCTTTTGTTTTTTCCTCTGTAAATAAAAGTATGTAAGCTACCTATCAATTGAAAAATGGGAACCTGTTAGGATAGAAAAGTATTTTTTAGTCATCTAAAAAAGCAAAACTTTCCTCAGGGTGTGGGAAGAGAGCACAAAAGGTTAGTGCAAATATTCTGCAATTTTACATACTAGAGGCCTAGGTTCAGTCTCTGACACTATACTATCCCCCAAGCATTGCCAGGAGCAACACCCCAGCAGAGAATCAACTACCATTTCTTTAAAATAGTCTCCAGTTAGTGAAAGAAAGTGTACAGTCACAAAACTAAATAACATCACAATAATACATTTTAGAAATCCCATCTAAGCATTCAGTTTTTCATGTAAAGAAATTGAGAATTATTTGTAATTCCATCAAAATAAGATAGCACCAATAATCATAATGAAAATAAAGTGCAAGAAAAAAAAAAAAAGACTTCGTAGTTTAAGAAGATGGCCCAGAGCAATAGTACTTCAGGCAGGGCTCTTGCCTTGCATGCTGCTGACCCAAGTTCAATCCCAGGCACCTGATATGGTCCCTGGAGCCTGCAAGGAGTGATACCTGAGTGCAGTTAATAAGTACTGCCCAATATGCCGACCCTCTAGTCATCCCACCCCTCACCTCTGTAAATAAAAGTACATAAGCTACCTATCAACTGAAAAATGGGTACCTGTTAGGATAGAGAAGTATTTTTCAGTCATCTAAAAAAGCAAAACTTTCCTCAGGGTATGGGAAGAGAGCACAAAAGGTTAGTGCAAATATTTTGCAATTTAGATATTATTGCAATATCACCCCCGTATCCTGCAAAAAATGGTGAAATCCAAAAAGCCAGAAGAAAAAACCTCAATGAAACTATATTAACAATATTTTTTACACTGTAAGATGAATTTAATAATAATTCTAACAAAGAGTACTATTGTTTTAGAGTTCATATATTAATATAAATCTGGCTTTATTCATCACAAATTTGAGTTCTATATATGCAAACATGTATACATGTATGTCTACATATATGTAAATACTAGACATTATCTAAAGCATTATCTTATGCAGACAAACAAATAGGTATGTATAAAGCTCTAAATATCTATTTGCTAGTTTTTGTACAAAGCAATGGAAATACAATCATTTGTGCTCTAGATAAAATTCTACTTGGGGAAATTAAGAAATTAGAAATTGACGATAATATCTAAAGTGCTAAGATTGAAACAAATAAAGTGCTCTGATAAGTACTATCAGGGTCCATTAGGGAGAAGAAAACATTCAAGCCAAATACCTCAAAGACGAAAATCAAGCAGTCTGAAAAAAGGCTAGGCAGAAAAAGCAAATAGCTGCTAATTTTTGTTCAGAAAAGTATCAAATAATATGTATTAGCAGGTCATTCCTTCAATCCTTAAACTCCCCATTTCAATTTAAGGTGTTCAAAATCTTAAGATGAAACTGTTAAAAAAAAATTTCACTCTGTGCAGCCAGCGGAGTGTACACTTTATGGGAGAAGGCCCAGGTTGATCCCTCACACTATGTGGCCCTAGAGCACCAGCAGATGTGGCCCCCAAAACAACAAAAAAATCACTAAATAGCTAACAAGACCAATGAAAATTGGTGGTGATGGAAATAGAAATTAGAAGATACCAAGTAGTGAAAGATCAGTAATTTTTATTAAAACTTAATGACACAAGTATTTTGGGGCACATTAAATGTCAAACTTAATATAAACACTTTTCCAAGAGACAAGAGGGAAGGTTCAAACTAGAAACTAAGCTGAGAGTTTAACACAAACTAATATATATTCTGAAACATTTTCTTTATAACTCAAAGAGGTCTATCAAAATATCCCATATATTAAAAAAATCTATATAAAAATTATAAAGCCATATAGCTATTTAAAATTTCAGTTATTATTTTCTGACCATATAAAAGAAGCTACCTAAAATCTCCAGAGATTGAGTTCTGTCTTCAATTTAAGTTTAGGTAAATAACCTACTAATGAATTATTTTAACATGCCTAATTCAGTGACTTAAAAATTGCAGATGCCCAATTTATTTATTTTTTATTCATTTATTGCTTTTTGGGTCACACCTGGTGTTGCACAGGGGTTACTCCTGGCTCAGGCACTCAGGAAGTACTCCCAATGGTGCTTGGGGGATCATATAGGATGCTGGGAATCGAAGCCGGGTAGGCCACGTGCAAGGCAAACACCCTACCCGCTGTGCTATCGCTCCAGCCCACAGATGCCCAATTTAACAAATGTCAACGAAACATATAGAACCTAGGGGCTGGAGTCACAGTACAGCAAGAAGAACCATACTTGACTGACCTGGGTTCAATTCCTGGCATCCCACGGTCCCCTGAGCACAGCCACAAGTAACCCAAATATGAGCACTGCTCATGTGGCCCCCAAACCAAAAAAAAAAAAAAAAAACACCAGAAAATCCAGATTCAGAAAGTCTTCTTTCCCTGCGCTGCAATTCTATCAGCCTTAAAAAGCTGGCATATGCAAAGGTTATAAATAGTTTCATTGGGGTTAGGGTTGAAATGCAGTAGTGTAAAATAGGAAAATAACATATAAAGGTCCTGCAGAGGAAAAGTTCCTTTTTCTTTTTTTCTTGGCTTTCTGGCAGCAACCAGAAAACCTGCTAAAATTCTAAAAGAGCTATAACATTGTTCCTATTTTTTTTAAGCATTATTATTTGCACAAGGAGGTTAAGTGCAAAAGTTTACAATAGTGATGCACAAAATTACTGCATCAAACGCCAATAAAGTGCCCATAACCTTCCACCAGTGTCCCTGTCACCATTCGTTTTCTCCACCCCTCCCCATTCTGTAATACAAGGCTTAAGGGTTTGCCATGATCCATATTTCTATTCTCTGCTTTTTCTCTATATCACAAAAAATTCACAAGTTCACAATCAAATTAATAGTCTCAACAGATTATTGGGCTGGAGCAATAGCACAGCGGGTAGGGCGTCTGCCTTGCACGTAGCCAACATGGCCGACCCGAGTTCAATTCCTACGCCCCTCTCGGAGAGCCCGGCAAGCTACCGAGATTATTCGATATGCCAGACACAGTAACAACAAAAGTCTCCAATGGAGACGTTACCGGGCCCGCTCGAGCAAATCGACGATCAACGGGAGGGCCTTTACTTTACTTTTACTTAGTCCTCTGATGTCAGTACTCTGGCAAAGGAACAAAATTTTCTAAAAATAATTTTACCTTTTTTAAAAATTTTGGTTTGGTTTTGGGCCAAGATTTTGAGCTACTCACGCCTCTGTGCTCAGGGGTCATTCCCAGTGGTGCGCAGAGGACCACATGTGGTGCCTAAGATGGAACTGGGATCGGCCACATGCAAGGCAGGCGTCCTTAACTCCTGCACTATCCAGCCCCTAACATAGGATTTTATAAAGCTCTATACAGGATACTTTAGTGAAGTCCATCAACTCAGCGGCAATACACAACTATAATATGCAAATATTCGCCAGGAGGGGAATATCCCTAACTCAAGTTAAGAATCAGAGAAGAGAGCCAGAGAGATAGCTCAACAAGCTGAGCATATATGCCTGAGACCCAGGACCAACACCTAGCACAGCCTGGCCCACTGAGTACCACCTATGGTAACTGAGCAGTGAGGAAAAGGGCTTCTAAATTTGTGAGAGATGCTGAAAACAGCATTAAAATACAGTTTTCATTTTTTTTTTTTTGATAATCTACTCTGGCTATTTTGTTAAAACACTGTTTCTGGTGATTTAAAAAAAAAATTACACTCTATTCTTTAAACCCTTTTCTAGATGGTATTAGTTTTTCTTGTGACTACATAATTGGCTTCCTTTGGCATAAAAACATACCTTTCTTTTCTGAAAACCAAGAAATAATTTTCCTGACCTATGCCAGATTGACTTAATAAATCAGCAATGTTTTTTTTTTCATGTTACTTGGTATTTCCAGTTAAACTGGACACATGAAAGTTGTCATTGTAGATTCCAATAAAATATCCTCCTGTAACTAGACAAAATTTTGACAAGATACCTGAGGTTCATCCTTATATTTACATCAAATCTGCCTACAGTAAATAAAGCTCAGAGATCACCCTGGTGTGACCATCTAATTACTCTGAATTATTAGGAATGTTTTATTCTCTACTACTTGATTACAGACTTTCCAAGTATCAGCTAAGTTAAACAAAAGCCAAAGAGACATAAATCTGAAGCCTCTGCCATTTCCTAATATAAACCCTGTAAACAGGGAGGGAAGAAGGTAGTGTGAGGATAACTGAATCTAGGCTAGACAGAAGCTCAATAGGTGGAGCACATGCTTGGCAAGTGGGAAGTCTGGGTTTGATCCCTGGCACTAAAGACCCCTGAACAGTGCCAGAAGCGACCCCTCAAGGACAAGGCCAGAAGTATCCCTGAGCACTGCTGGGTCTGGAACAAAAACCAACTTAATCTCCACTGTTCTTCTGGACCTCTCAAAGGTTTTCATAAGGGTCTATTTGACTTTTATAAACAAATTTCCATTTCTTCATGGTATTTTTCCATACATTTCCCCACTAAATTGGTTTGTAAGTAATCATAGAGCCCTAAAATTCAGTAAATTTGAAATGAAAATTAGAAATTTCCCCAAGTCTGAGATAGTTTGCAGCCTAAAATTTTCTGTGTATCCACATATGAAATTCAAGAGAATGTGATTAAAAACAAAAAACCAGAAATAAATAAAGGCAGAAACTAGATGCAAAAAAACAGTCATTTCCTGACCCATGTACCCACCAATGTAAGTATGGGGCAGGTAACACAGCTCAAAAGTCAGTCTAGAGATAATGCAAATCTTTGCATGCTGGATCCCCGGGTTCAATCCCCAGCACCACGAAGTTTCTGAGCTATGCAGGAGCAACCCCCCAGCACTGAGCCACCAGTAGTAAGCCCTTGAGCATTGCAGGCTATGGCCCAAAATGAAACAAAAATATTTAGAAGTATGTAAGTTTCTTTTGCTAATTCATTTATTATTCACTTGAGTATTAGATCCTACTAGGTATATAGCTATGGGAATTAAAGACAAAAAACCAAAGGTGTAATTTCAATTCGCAAAAGATTTTGATTAAAAGATCAAAGACTTTGGCCTTACCTGATTTTTTAAACATATTAAAAATTCAGTATTCAAGATAGCTACAGGAAATTTCTGCCATTTAAGCATTTGTAGCATATTTCTGCAGTGCTTAAGCAATAACACAAAGAAAACAAATAGTTTTATATTTTATTCTCTACTTTGAATATTGGGCTGGAGCAATAGCACAGCAGTAGGACATTTGCCTTGCAAGCCGCCTGCCCAGCCAAGCCGGGTTCAATTCTTCCACCCCTCTTGGAGAGCCGGCAAGCTACTGAGAGTATTTTGCCTGCACAGCAAAGCCTGGCAAGCTACCCGTGACATATTCGATATGCCAAACACAGTAACAAGTCTCACAACGGAGATATTAGTGGGCCTGCTCGAGCAAATTGATGAACAACGGGAGGACTGTGCTAGACAGTGCTGGACTTTGAATATTTACTATTACGTGTTATAATTCAAAGCTCAAAGATGAGAAAGGTAACTTAGCTTTGAATCTAAATAATATACTATCCTTAGAGCAGAACAAAGGGAATCTCTTCCTTTACTAAGCTCCTGTTTTCTTTGTACAGGGGCACAGCATTGATTCTGGATCAGTGAATTACTACTGGCCAATAAAAAGTATGAAACAACAACCGTAATTATTCTGCAACTTAAACCTGTAACTCAAACTAGTAAGACAAATCAGAAATAAAAAATTACTCAAATTTTATGACATGGAAGGTATCTTTATAAACATATGCCCACATTATGAATGTGCAACCTCTTCCAAGATCAACAAAGAGCAAAAAATATCAAAAGTTAGAAACCAAGGACTTTTACAGAATATTCTCTTACATATTACAAAGAATGAAGCTATGGAGCTGTTACCTGAAGCTTTAGATATGAATAAGGTGTTTTGAAAAAAGTACTTATCATTACCCTAAACAATTCATTAAACACTGCAGATCATAAAATATTTATGTTAGACTAGTGCTGTTAATGTTAAATAATGCTCTTGAAATATTTTGAAATATTTTAAAATGAGAGAAATGAAAGGGAGATACCTTCAAAACTATTAACCTTCCCACATGAAAATTACATATTTTAGCAGAATATTCACTAAATAAAAATATATTACCTGCATTTTAAGGCACACATTAGTTACAACATATAAAGTGATGGACTTTTATTTGAAGAATTGCATTAAGGTCTTGGAATATTTGCTGAAACTCAGGTAGAAATAGGTTAAGTGTTCACAGGTTAGTCTGCAGTCAAGAAAGGCTATTACAATTAAAATATCAATCTTGACACCTGAAACCACTTACAATATTAGTTGCCTCATTTGAAAGTTTCTGTATAGATTTTTTAAAAGCTGACATCGGATAATGCTTTGGAAGGTTAGGTGAATTCAGTTCTCTTTTCCTCATCCAATTGCCTGTCTTACATTAAGTCGGACTTCACAGGTAATTGAAGCGATTAGACTGTGAAAGGTCTCCAGGTCACTCTGTTCAAATGTGACTGTTGGTTTCACTGGTGGTACTGAAGCAAGGGCATTCTCGCCAATAATTCTCAGGTTGATAAATTTGATTTTCCAAGTATTCGCCACCAAAGGGGAGCGGACGAGCCCAAAAATTTTTTCAAAAATGCCCAAACAAGAGTTTCCTCGGTGGACAGTCCCCGCAACTCCAACCATAACTAGACCATATGGGGAAGAAGCGCATTTTAGTCCATGGGGATCTAGGTTGGGATTAAGAATTAAATATTCTTCTTTCACTAAAGACAACAGACGAAGGCTCACAATTTCTGCTCCTTGGTATTCTGTTATATTTTGCTCCGAAGTATTATAAAAAAATCTCAGCTTTACATCATCCCAGAAGTGCTGAGGTCCCCATTCTTCTTTAGGTAATCCCAGCATAGGATTCTGAGAATTGAGAAGTTCAAAGAACCAGTGGCAGAATTTTTCTCCTAATAGATGAAAATCAAGAGACTCAGTTTGATCTTCTTGCTTTGGCTGCACAAGAAAAATATAATACAAAATAAAATCACAGTAAAGCTTACATCTATTTTCTCTATCTGGCACATTTCAGAGCTAAGCTTTAATGAACTGATTATAGCAGAGGAAGATGAACTCTAAGTGAATTCACTCAACCTATTATGGAATAGTAATTCCTCTTTCAAAAAGGGGAGAAATCAGTGTAGAAGTTGCCAGCTTAAACACCTGAAATATGGCTAAGAACCTAAGGTTTAACAAAGCCTCTATAACATTAAGAACAAACGATAAATAATAATTTATACAAAAATTTTTCCCTTCCTGTACCAAAGCCTTCAGACTGTACACATCATCTAAACATTTCTGTGTGGTAGGAGGGCACCGTCCCAGCAGCACTCAGAGGCCTGGGAGCCCCAAACAGTGATATCTGGTCCAGAAGTGAGGGTCTACTGGTAGTTTAGTTCTTGGGGCTCAGACATGTAGAACTGTCAGGCCCACCAGGGTCATACCTGGCAGGCTCAGACTGTCATGAAATGCTGAGAATCTTGCGTTGACACGCAAGACTCCAGCCCTCTGTTTCCTCCCCTGCCTCCCAAATCCTACATTTTATTTATTCATTTATTGGGTTTGGAGCCACACACACCAGTGTACAGGGACATGGTCTTCCAAATGCTCAGGGTGACTCTTGGTGGAGCTCAGGGAACAATATGGTGCTGGCAATCAAAACAAAGGCTCCAATCCAGCCCCTTTAGTTATCTCCCTAGGCCAACTGCATGATTTAAGCGGATATTTTGTTGCACGTAAATTATGCCACAATATAATTAAAATTAGCACTTCACTATCTTTAAATATACTTTCAACATTACTGACAGGTTATTTCTTATGATTAAGATTAATTTTCTGATATTACTTCTTTTCTCAAAACAATTTTTAATACAAAACTATACCAGAGAGGCTAGCTTTTATTCATCTATGTGTTCTATGCCTTATTTAGAGAAGATATCTTTAAGTTTTTGAGCTCCTGCTATTTTAAATAGTGGGCACATGTTCAATAATTACCTTCAGAAGCCTCATGATGTGAATAGTATCATTATATCCATTTCAAACATAAAAAAAATCAGGCTCAGAAAAAGTAAGTTACTGTCTGGAGTTTATACATAGCAGATTCTAATTTGAAATCACGTAAGTATGATTTCAAAAGGCAACATCCCTTTCATAGAATTCATCAGGGAGACATACCAAGTTTAAAGCACATCTAGCTACCCTTGTGAGGGTGAAACTGATGCCATGACAATTTGTGGCTAACATTAAGTCTCAACTAGGCCTCAGTTTCCCCAGGGTTTGCAGTTTCTGGTAGACTCCCAATTCACCTAGATAAGAAACTGGGCAGCTGGGTCTGGCCAGTCATGAAGAGTCCCTGTACGCTTCTTTGAAACAGTTGCTAACCATTGCCTAATAGCTGACCACCGTTGTAATAATGACAATGTTAAAAACAGAACAGTATATAAACTGCTTCTTAACTCTGAACCCTATATAAACTGCTTGTGATTTCGAGTGGGGGTCCTTGTACAAGACTCCACGGTATTGGATGAGACTTGGACCTTAGCTCAGGCTAGCGCTGGCTCAGCCTCGTAATAAAAGTTCCTTTGCTTTTGCATTATCGTGTGCGGACGTGGTCTCTCTGCAATTGGGGATCTGAAACTCGTGCACAACACCTTGGTCTCTCTGCAATTGGGGATCTGAAACTCGTGCTCGCCAGGAACACGTGGTTCCCTGAGCATCCAGAGGTGCAGCCCTAAAGGCCCTCAAGCAAACAGCACTGTATGGCCTTGGCACTACCTAGCACTGAAGGGCCCTTTCCTCAAACCACTGAACCACTGGCCTCCTTTTCTGAGAATTGTGGGAGGGGCCCCAATCTCCTGAGCACCACTTAGCAGTCTCCTTCTTAACTCAACACTAGTTTCAGTACATTAAGAAACTCTTGGACTGCAAGACACATGCCTTGCAAGTTGCCAACTTCAGTTCAATCCTCAGCACCATTTATGATCCCTCCAGTATTACCAGGAGTGTCCCCTCACTCCCAAAAAAGTTCATAGAAAATCCTTTCTTAACATTCACGTAAATAGTTCTCATTGTAAGCTTTCATCAATTCAAAGTATGCAGCAAACAGTTTAATCTGAAAATTTCCTAGAGGTTCCTTCAACCAATATTTGAATATTCATTACATATTTAAAATGCATAGATACAAAGGAATCGAGTCAATGTAGGCTAAAGAAAATTACTGCAACAGAAATCTTTTTCTAGCTAAAAAAGATCAAATGGAAAAAAATATATGCTTCCTTCATGGAAGTTTTGCAATTTAATGCCAAAGAGAGTTTTCCAAATGAGAAGGGTTTGTCTGTCACTGTCACTGTCCTCCCGTTGTTCATCGATTTGCTCTAGCGGGCCCAGTAACATCTCCACTGTGAGACTTCTTGTTACTGTGTTTGGCATATTGAATACTCTCAGTAGCTTGCCAGGCTCTCCGAGAGGGGCGGAGGAATCGAACTTGGCTCAGTCAGGCTGGCTGCGTGCAAGGCAAACGTCCTACCGCTGCGCTATCACTCCAGCGCGAGAAGGGTTAAACTGCATTATTTTACAGAGAGAAAAAAAAATTACAGTTTGAGACAAAATTAAGGAAACTAAATTGATACTGCAGTCTACATACTCTTTTTAAAACTCCAATAGTCCTTATTTGACAAAAGAATAAAAACATTTATTTCAGAAATAGTTTATCTTTTCAATGCTTTACTGATCTTCCTGCAAGATGCAAAGGATGTGATAAAATTAAAACAGACAACAACAAAACAAAACAAGTGCAATTATTAACTATTGTAAGTAAGTCCATATCCAGGATTTTCTAAAATGTTTTAGAATTACATTTCAAGATAACTGTTAAAATCTACTCCACCTTCTGAAAGAGACTGAGGTCCTGTGTCTTAATAGGCAGTGGTGTTTCCTTCCATTTCGTGACTATCTGCTTACTCCAGTAATGCTTCGCATGCTGAATAAGATTATGTTTTTCAGTAGTTGGAGGTAAAATAACTCCTTCCGATGCCAAGTACCTAAATATATCATCTCGGTGGACTTTTTTACGCTTCAAAAGTTCTTCTGCACTTTGACTGTATACTAATATTGCACGAATGGCATCTAGAAGGCAATTGTAAAGATTAATAGAAAATCCACAAGTCACCTATAATTGTAGAGAAATTCTATTGATATTCATACTCTTATCATGACATTATTTCATTAAGACAGTTACCATTTTTAAAAGTCAGAGTAGATTGTCAGATTTGGGATTTGAAAAAGAATGATAAAATTTCTCTTCCTAAAATTTCTTTCCCTTTTACTTCTAATAAGAAATAAAAGAGATGAAATCTAGGATGGGGGGTGAGGGCAAGAAATAGGATAACAGGTAGAGCACTTTCTTTGCATGCAGAAGACCTGGGTTTGATTCCTGGTCTCGCATATAGTCTCCTGTGCCCCTCCAAGGGTGATCCCTGAGCACAGACCCAGAGTAGGCTGTGGCCCCTCCCACATACTACCAACCACCCCAGGTAAAAAGAAAGTGAAATCTTAATTTCACTTTTTTTTTCTTTTTGGATCACACCTGGCAATGCACAGGGGTTACTCCTGGCTCTGCACTCAGGAGTTAGTCCTGGCGGTGCTCAGGGAATCATATGGGATGCTGGGAATCGAACCCGGGTCGGCCGCGTTCAAGGCAAACGCCCTACCCGCTGTGCTATCTCTCCAGCCCCTTAATTTCACTTTCTTAAAAAAGAAAAAAATATTTTCTTTTTAAGGAATTAACTGAGCCACAAATTATTCATCTTATAAGATATGGACGTATAGTGGTTGGAAGCTTGTCTCAAGTGTATGTAGGGCAAAGAGAACTGAGGATAGAGAAGGAACCAGTATGACAATAATAGTTGGAAATGATCACTTTGGACAGGAACTGAGTATTGAAAGTAGATGAAGGGATACACTTGATTACCTTTCAGTATCTGCATTGCCAACCATAATGCCCAAAAAGGGGGGTGGGGAGAGCCAGGGAAGAGAGGGAGAGAGTGGGGAGCGCTTGCCATAGAGGCAGGCTGGAGGCTGGAGGGTGATGGGAAGGGACCTGGGGACACTTGTGATGGGAAATATGCAATGGAGGAGGGATGGGTGTTGGAACAATGTATGACTGAAACTAATCATGATCAACTTTGTAAGGGTCTATCTCACAGTGATTCAATAATAATAATAATGTAAATTCTTAGAAATTTACCTAACATTCAGACTTCCATGAAAGTTTCAGGTGAAAGAAAGCTCAACCGGCTGACCTCAGGTTGCAGGCACCAGGCTGGTGATGGAGCCCCTGCACCAACCACCCAATCGGGTAGAACAGGGCCTGATGTGGCTCAAAAATGTAACCAAGAAATTTTTCCCCAAACTTTTTTTTTATTTTTTAAAAAAGACAGAGCCTTTGGTAGACACTTAAATACTAAAATATAGGTGAGATGGAAAGCTCCACATTTTAAAATCATATACCGTGCATTTCAAACAAACCTTGCTATGTGGATCACAAAATGAAAAGAAACACAGACATGACATTCTTATGCGGGTTACAATCCGGCAGAATATTAAAGATCCTTTAAAGGGCCACACTTGGCAGTGCACAGGCTTTACTTTCTTTTTTTTCCTTAAGATTTTATTATCGAATCACTGTGCAATAGACCCTTACAAAGCTGTTCATGATTAGGTTTCAGTCATACACTAGTATTCCAACACCTGTCCCTCCACCAGTGTATATTTCCCAGCACCAGTGTCCCCAGGTTCCCTCCCATCACCCCCACTCCTCGACTCCCCACCCTGTGATCAAAGATCACTTCTTGTCACGCTCGGGGCAATCACGTGACACAAAGGATGGACCTTGTGCAAGGAAATCCCCCCGCCCGCTGTGCTATCTTTAAGGTTCTCTACCGATACTTTTACTTGCCACTAATTATGTATACCACCCCCCCCACACACACACAATTTTTCAAAAGTAAAAAAAAATCAAAAAGGTTTCAAACTACCTCCTTTCCTACCAGTCCAGCTCCCCCACCCCACCCCACCCCACCCCCCGGCACCGCCCCACGTGCGATCTCCGCCCCCCCTGGCTGCCGCCTGACAATTCCCAGCTGACGGAAACTGAAAGTTTGGCAACTCCAACCGGGAATCGAAACCCAAAACTTGGCCCGCTTGGCCAAAGCCGAGTAAGAGAGAAAAACAACAGATTCTACCTGGGAACCCGAGAGGTGTCAGGCCAGCGGCCCCTGCGCAGAACAGGCCCAGGAGAGGAGGCGCGAGGAGGGCGGGTCCGGCGGGGGCGCGGCCCCCCGGGGGTTCTAGGCCCGGGGCGGGCGGGAGGGTTCCGCGGCCCCGGCCCGCAAGGTCCTCTCGCTCACCCCGCCCCGCCACCCGCTCTCACCTGCGCGGTTCTCGGGCCGCACCAGGCGGTTGGTGACGGTGTCGCACAGGGCCAGGATGTCGTCGGTGTTCAGCAGGCCCAACAATTTACGGCAACCCTCCTTCTCGGGAGAGCAGAGCCCCGCCATCGCGACGTCGCCCCGGGAACCCGGGCGAGAGGAGGACACCCACGACGCCGACCCATCCGGGCCCAGGCCGGGCGCCTAGGAAACAGACACCGGAAGTGCCTCTCTGGGTGTGCGCCCTTCAAACGGTCTCGGGCATCCCGCGGTTCCCGGGCGGAAGCGGCCGTCCCTGAAGCCCACAGGGAAACACGGTCCCTTGAGTTATTGTTCCGCTCAGGCCGGGCATGGGAGAGGGGCGTCTCCGGGATGTCACTTTTGGAGCGGCGTGGTGTAGTTGTCGCCGACGGGGAGTTGGCTGCAGAAGGGGAAGCCCAGAGCCCCTCGGCAGTCCCGCCTGCATAGAGTACGCGGCGCGGCTGCGGAGGTGCAGGTGCGTGGGAAATGGGGCGCACGGCGTGGCCCGGGGGCGGGCCTAGGGAGGTGCCTCCTCCCTCCCGGCCGCCCCCAGGAGCCAGTCGCCGTTAGTCTTGGTCGCTGCTGGTGCTGGAGCACGTAGTTCGACGTTCTTGAAAAAATAAGAATTCCGTTTGTTTAACACACGCTATGGGAAGTTAAGGGCGGGGGACACGGACACCACCAACCTGGACTGTGTTCCATTCGCCCATTGTCGCGTGCTGAAGTCTCCTTAGAAATTTGTTGCAATCAGCCGCTGCTTCGCTGCGTCCCGCTTGAGGCTGGGGACCCTGAAAGCCGGATGGGCAAGGTTTTGCTACGACCAGGGCATGGACAAGCCTATTAGGCTGTCCTTCGGGTTTCTATCCAAATGGATGGCATAGGGACGAAGTGGGAGCGTGTGTTAGCAGTTATTGCTGTGTGGCGGCAACCACCATCACAGCTGGCTGGAGCAAAGCAGGAAGGCTCAGACTGATCACTTCTCTATCTTGTGACCTTTTTTACTCATATTTCAGACTTAGTTCATGCTTAGTAAGGGTAATTCCACTGAGTCGCTAAAATGGTAACACAGTTTTGCTAATCTAAGTGAGCAAGCTATTTTTTTTTTACTTAAAAAAAAAATCACAACTCTGGGCCGAAGCAATAGTACAGCGGATAGTATGCAGCGGACCTGAACTCGATTTCCTGGTACCCAGGTTCCTCAAGCCCAGCAGGAGTGAACCTGAGCGCAGAGGGAAGAGAGCGAGCCATGAGCACCAACGGGTGTGTGTGTGTGGGGGGGGGGGGGGGGGGGGGAAGCCCAAAAAAAACTTAATAAGCTGAAATTGTTGTCAAGACACTCAAGAATTAATAAATTAGTAAAATAAAAAGTTCTCCAGAAGTTGTTTGGAATACCAGTTGCTCAGAAAACAATTCATTTCTTATCAAGTATAAACCATTCGAGGTATTTATGAACTCACCTTTCAGGAGCTCTTGATTAAAAAAAAGGCAGGTAAGTGTTGATCACGCTATACCCAATTCGCATTCATTTCTCTCTTCCCTCTTCTCCACCCTCCTTATCAGTATGCCAGTCACTATACTTTGTGCCCTCTACGGCCCTCTTATCAGTACACCAGTCATTGTATTTTGGGCTGGGAACACATATGATTTCGATTTTGTAATCTACTGAGAGGAAATTGCATACCCAGGAAATGCTATCGAGAAAAATAAACCATGAGGGAGATGAGGTGGTGCTGTTTTATACAGGTCGTCAAGAATGGATTCTCAAACACTGAAGGAAGGAGCTGGAGAGCAGAAAGAAACCACAGAAGACGATTCTAGAAGGAAGCAAAAATAGAGACTACAGTAAGGAACTTAGTGCCTGGCTTGTAGGTCAGCAGGCAGGAGTCTGAAGCAGCTTGTGCAAGTAGAAGGTAATCTGTTAAGACTGATCTAAAGAGAGATTTACCAACTCTGGCCCTGTTGACATAATGAGGTAGATGAGTGTTGTGGGGGGCTGTCCAAAACATTGCAAGGTACTGAACAGCTTCTCTGGCACCTCCCCCCCCCCACACACACACTAGGTAGCACTTCACACCCCCCAGGTGACACTAGCAAAAACTAGCCCCACTTGTCAGGTAAGGGGCGTAGAATCACTGCACATTAAGAACCAGTGATACAGACCATATGTTCCTTTGGATACTATGAAAATACCTTGGGTTTTCCTATACACTGACAATCGTGGCTACTGAACACTCGTACACTGAGGAATTAAATTTTCAATAGTCATCGTGGCATGGCAAGGCTGCTCTACTAGGTAATGAAGATTTAGAGCTGCCCTGTGGGCGATTATGAAGACTCTGGCTTTTATCTTTCTGATTCTCACTTCAGAAATGCCCAGTGGTTCCCTTTCTCTCTTAAACTTGGCATGTTTCAGAATCTTAGCTCTTGCTCGTAAGTTGGCATCCCATCAGTTCAGGGCCAGGAGTAAGCCCTGAGCAGTCCTGGGTATGTGTGTGCCTTCGCCCCACGACCCCACCAAAAGTAAAGCTAGTAAGCCAGCCAGCAGCTATGTTGATATTATATCCTTTGTCTGACAGCACCGATCCTCAGACGGGTCTGACTTTTTGTATTAGATCCCTTCGTGTCCTGTTTGGAGGGTAAACTGCATGACAGAATGTCAACTTACGGTTTTGATTTTCAGTAAGAGATAACACTAGCCAATACACAGTAGCACTGTAGCACTGTCCTCCGGTTGTTCATCAATTTGCTCCAGCGGGCCCAGTAACATCTCCGTTGTGAGACTTCTTGTTACTGTGTTTGGCATATGGAATACATCATGGGGAGCTTGCCAGGCTTTGCTGTGCAGGTGACAGAATCCAATTCTTCTCCAATGTGCAGCCTCCCATGAACCTCTCCCATTTCATTTTTATTAAGTATAGTTTTGGATTGCCTCCATTTCATATTTTGACATATAACCCAAATGTTTCTCTAATACAAGCTGATTCCTAAAAATTATGTTTGCTATGAACTAAAAGCAAATTATTTTGGAATTCTTGGAAGTACACTTAGTAATACTTGAGTTCCTCCAAAATATCTGATATTTGGGGATGGGGTGGAAAATTTTCATCACCACAATAAATAATTTTATCTCATTACCTAAGTACCTTTAAGTCTAAGGTGATACAACCAAAAATCACATGTTGAGAATTCTAGATCTCAGCTGTTAAATGCCTCAGTGACTTTTTCATTATTTTTCAGAGTAAACATTAATATGTGCAAATCACCGTACTTATTACAATTGTTCTTTCACTGGTAGCAGTTATCCCATTACATCAGAGGTTCATTTTCTTCTCTGAATCCCTTATTTCCCAACTGCAAATCATAGCATAGCAAATGTTGTATAGTTTTCCCTTCTTAATGAACAAGAATAAGTGCCTTCATGCCCAGAGACTTAAGACTGAGATTACTAATTGGCTTCAAACTTTTTCCATAAGGTTTATGTAGGAAGTGATGTTACCATTTACATTTAATTTCAAAGTGAGTCCACAATCTTTTTTAAAAGCTCCATCATAGTTCTCTATGAATAACCAATATATGAAAAAAATTCATTTACTGTCTTGCATTTTAAGAGTTCTAACATTTGTCTTCTATCGACTAAGTTTGCAGAGGGCACTATATCACACTGACACTTACCTGCAATGACTTGTAAAGATCAATGGCAACAATTTGTAAGTGCCACAGATGGATACTAGTTAAAACAGTGCCTAAAATATCTTGTTATAAGCCTCTAGATTTTTGTTTTAAAATAGTCTCTCAATCTGAATATGGTATTATTAACTAATATACCTCAATCTCTTACAATAAGAAAAACAAATATCTTATTTAATGGACCTAATGACTAATTCTTTTTTGAAGCATTATCTACATAAAATTGAACACTTCATTACCAACAAGGACAATGTTTTATTGAACAAATCTATGTACAGTACAAAAAATTTCTTGAAATGAGACACTATTGTTGATTTATTGCAGTTCAATGGCTCAGTTTTAATTTGAACTCTTAAAAAATGCAAAATAAAATAATTTAATGTTCAACAAGGAAGCACAAATTTCCTTTCTTGTTGAATCTGTAATATCTTTCACATATTAACAATTCTAAAATGCATATGCAGCATTTCATCATTCTGAAAAGGTGTTATACAGTACCAAATAAATTAAAAAATAAACATTATCATCCCTTTTAGGTTTCTCCATCCATACAACAGTTTAAACCTTCATGTGTGATTTGAAAACAATCACAAATTTATAAATTATTCATTTTATAATTGATGGTTTAAAATTAATGAGTATGGCTAAAGCCCAAAGTACCAGTGTCCTAATCCACGGAGATTCCCCATTTTCTATCTCCTCCATAGTATCTGAGCAGCAAAAACTCATATTTGCTATTTTCTTGACCTTACAGAAACATAGCAGAAGTTAATATTTAATGTTTTGAAGGAAATTTTTATTTAAAAACAAAAAACTGAAACTTGGTCCATGTAAGATAAACACATCTCAAATTAGAAGCAGAAAAGAGAAGATGTAAGAAAGTTTCCTTTTCTTGTGAAAGAATAGCAAATTAACTGTTGGAAGTTTATGTAATTCCACGAAAACAAAATGATTTAAATAAGACATACAAAATAAAATGTACACATTTTTTCAAAGGCCATTATTTGAGAAGCATATAAAGATGACTGAACAGTGTGGTCAAATAATACTTTATAAACATTCTGATATAATTATATATGAACCAATTAGATCTCATTCTTTCAGAAACAGTTTTCCCTTAGCAAAAAAAAAAAAAAAAGCAGAAATAAAAACTGAACTTAAAGATCAAACAAAAACATAGAATTGGATCACGTTTAGATATCTTGGTCTGAACTGCAAAAATGAAAATAACAATTTGTGGAATTAATTTATTAACTTGTATTAATTTATAACTTGAACAAAATTTAAAATGATTATGATTAAGTTGTAATTTTAAATTTCTAGACAAAGAACAAAGCAGAAATTTTATTTAAAAAAATTTCACTGTCCCAATAAACTAGTTTTCAAACAATCTTTTTATTATATTATATACTTTCAGATTCAACTAAAATAAAACTCAAGTATTCAATTTTCTGTATCAGAAAGTTTGGAAAAACTTTTTGAATTGATTTTAAAGCATT